GCAGCAGCATGATATTGACTGGCTGGCCACACCAGTCTCCGTTGCTTCTTCGCTACTGAGCTATGGCTATTGTCATCTTTCTTGTTGTTTTTCTCGTCATTATCCTTGCTTGTTTGTCTTTGTTTTGTGGCCAGCAAGAAGCTGTTGAGAAGACACCCCTAACCGCGAGGCGCTCGAGGCGGATTTCTTCGGTTCGCACCGGGCAGTACCCCGGCCAGTCGGGGATGTGGTCGGGGATCTAACAGAGGAAGAAGAGGAAGACAGTGTAAGACGTCTGCGTCTTGGAACGGGAATCCCCACTGCAGTGGCGGAGACGCTCGGAACAGCAGGATAAGCATAGCTGGCAACCAAAGTATCGCCAGTTCTAGCAGGGCCGAGGAGCTTCCACGAAGAAGCCGAAGGGGAGCTGAGTTTGTCTTGGAGGTCCGCACGTTGATTCAGAGTTGCGAACGCACGTGCTGCGAGTGTGATGCTAGGAATTAGTCTTGGGTGGAATGTTTGGGAATAGAGATTGCACGAATTTCGTAGTGTTGGGCTCGCTGCATTGTTTTGGCTATCCAAGTCTTGCATCATCTCGTGCTGTCCCGTACTCATGCCCTTTCCTCTTCTCTCTGTGCCTTTAACTCTTCGAAACCGTTTCTGAGCCTGAGTCTACTAAGTAGTATTCATTGTACAAGATCTCCCAATACAGAGCCGCACTTTGTTGTGGCTCTTGGGGGTTGAGCCAAGGTCTTTCAGACCATGGAGCTGCAAGTGAAGCTACGCTGGCACCAGAGGGGTGGGTTTCAGCTTTTTTCCAACCTTTGCTTGGGTGAGTTTCGCTTTCTTCTCCTATGCATGATGCACTTGTTGTTCTCCCAGTTGCTACTGTCATTCTTCGTGGTTATCGTGTTGTCTGCTTGTCTTGTTCCAGTTCTCTGTTTTTTTTTTAATGTTCCGGATGTTTCACCATTTCAAACAGCATTTGCATGAATGACATGCTTGTGTTCATATTTTCCTTGCTACTAGTACGTTTGTTGGTCTCACTTTCATTGTCATGCTTGCCAGTGTTGAACGTGTCTATTGTTTCATTTTTGCGATCATGGTGTTTATGAGTTGTGTTGGTTTGCGACTGCCAGTCAAGGCAGGTGCTTGCCTCGGGGTGAATTCGTAGGTTTGTGTGCGAGACCTCGAACACTTGTTGTTATCCTTGTGCTAGTATAGGGCTACTCGGCCACTCCTGTACATAGTAAGCCTGTTGCGATCCTGTTACGGTGCACTCGCCACAAAGCTTTTGGTTGCTGCGGTGCCCCATTGGTTCTCGTTGCATGGTTTGTCGTGTTGCTCGTGCCATTTGTTCGTGCGTTTTGTGACTTTGCTCATCCCCACCATCATGAAAACCCTTAGACCCAACACCCACATCGTCTTCGTCTTTCGCTTCAAAATGCCTATGAGCTTTTGATGTCTCAGGAAAACCATGGGCCTCCGGGAGGCAATCCGACAGATGGGGGGCTGAGTAGTGGCCCGCATGGGTTTCATCCTTCTCCAATCTTCTCCCGGTTTCACTGCCTCTGCTGGGAATGGGTGTCTTTGGGGGATCCAAGTCAGCGGGAGACGGAGAGCGGCCAGCCGGAATAGGATTTGAGCAGAGTCTCGCAAGCTGCTGCTCCATACATGCACTGCCTCGGATCTCATGCCCTTCTCGCGCAGTCTTCACATGTCCACGGTTTGGGAGATGGATGGCAACGAATTGACCTTCAGTCTTGCTGCTGGTTTTCCCAGACATAACATCAGCAAGAGCTTCTGGAGAAAAGAGTGCTCGCTGATTCATGGAATTTTTGATTTGGAGACGTATCCGAATTGAGCAGGACCTTCATCAAAGCTGCAGCAAACTGTTGCAACTGGGTCACTGGCATCGCAGGTCTCAAGAACGCATTATCACGCTAGACTGCAGCTGTTGAAGCCCTCATGCAGCCGTCTCTTTGACATGATTCTCCGATGGAATGGGTCATCCAGCTTTCAGACGAGACGAACTAGAAAGTCTTGAAATCATGAATTCATCAACAGTACCTTTTCTGTTGAGAAGCTTGTTCCGCTGTTGACAAGTTGGGATGACAAGCGGGTGGTTCGCCAGGGGGATGCGAACATGGGCATTGACCGTTCGAGACTACTGTGTTTAAGCCAAACTTCTCATTCTACTTCATGTTGTCGTTCGGCAAGGTTACATGCAGAAAACACACTCAATGAGCCATCACAGATCCCTTTCAGCTAAATCCTCAGCGGCTGTTGAAACTTTTCGCGCTCGTCTCAGCTGCGGCCTGTGCAGTCGCTCATGCTAATGCATCGAGGAACACGATATATTTTCCTTCAGATCCTGGATGTGGCATTTAAGGGGGATTGCAAACACCGGCTTGTTTTCAGCTCAGAAGGGCTTGGCTTGAAAGCCAGATTTCTTTCAAAAACAACACCTCTTGCCTCGTGAAGGTAGACATCAGGAAGAGATCCCGGGTTGGGCCTTAGAGTATGGATTTAAGGCTTTCAGCAGGATCTGTCAGGAGCTGTCGATCGAGCCCCGCCATTTCAAAGGTGCTGGGGGCGGAAACCGAGGCGCAAAAGTCTTGATACATGTTTCAGCAGCTGCAAAAGTCTTGTTAAATGCTTCAGCAGCTACAAGTGCCTCTGACTTAGCTCAATTGAATTCAGCTTGCGAGACCGCGACAACGTGCGCTGCTCAGGGCCGACAAGCCTCGAAGTCAGCCCGCCCACTCAGCCCTCGACGAAAGCATCAAGTCAGAACCAGGGCTCTCGAAACCAGGCGCAAGGGAGTGGACAGCGATGTAGCCCCGTTAAGGGTACAGTAGGGCTTGTTTGTCGGGGCCCAGCTGTTGTGGTTGCAATACAGGCTTCCGAGTCTCTTAGGTCTTAGGACCAGCAAAGCAGCCGGATTTAGGGGTTTGGTAATTTAGCAAGTTGCCTTTGTTGACCTGCAAGATGCATTCAGAGTGAGAGCCACACCTCACACATTGAAGCCATCGGCCAGAGCAGTCCGCGATTTTCCCGCCCAGCGTTATTTCAGCGAGTTCTTCAGATTTCTTTTGCTTCAGGGCCGGAGCGAAAACCTGAAGACATGTCTGGACAACCTTAAGCCTTAGGCCCGCAGTCCAGCAGCTCCCGCAGCTACAAACAGTGGCCAGCAAGAAGGACATAAGGCCAGGTGGGCTTTCCCTGTACCTATTCTTGGTTACATGACATGCACGGTTTTCGTTGGCCCTAATATGGCAAGGGCCGAAGAGTGATTTAGCAGACCTGCCGCTCTCTCGAGGGGTGTACCCTGGCTCGCGCTCAGTCCAAGGGGCTTTGCATGTCGGAGAACTGGCTGCTCGGCAGTCCTTTGTTGTGTGCGCAACGCCTTTAAACACACGACCTTATCCACCGTCTTCGGATGTGTGGCCTGCGATAAAAAGGTTGCCCTGCCGGGACTGTCTGCATGCTGGTTCCAAACACTTTGCATGTGAGGAGCATGGGGCAGGCATGAAGGGGAATGTGCGAATCAGACTGGCTTTCTTCACCACTGTTCACGGCCTCTGTGTTCAGTTCAACTCTCGGGCACAGGGATCAGGTTGGTGACATGTCCAGAAGTGGAGGATGTAAGTCCAGCGCAGATTTCTTCTCCGCTGTTCTCTTATGTTTGTACCTTGTAGAACCTTGTCCCTCCAAGCCCAAAAAAAGCCCCTGCAAAGGTTGCTCCCAAGGTTACCTTACAACTTACAAAGTCGCTCCCCAGACTGTGTAGTCCAAGCTGATCTGCCTTTGCCCTCGGCCCAGCACTGCACCTCTGAGGCTGTCTCCGTGATTGTTGACAATATCCCCCGCTGCGTCAGCCAGTTGCAGTTCCTGGAAGAGGCTTTCGGAGCCCCGAGCCCCAGGAACCCGAACTTAGCCCCTCTGCCACCTGTGGTCTGAGGCTTTCCAAGAACCTACTTAGTACGTAGCCCCGCTGACAAGCAGAGCCCGATTGAGAGCGTCTGCGAAGAGGTAGGTACTTGAGAACTGGGTCTTTCGAAGCGGCAAGATGCCCTCCCATCCGGAATTTAGACCTGATGAAAGTCACACCTCCACAACATGGCCGCCTCTCCCCAAGCTCCCTCTCGGACCGATGCGCGGTTGCAAGCTGGATCCTGAACCGGTCACCCTGTGCTCATATCCCAAATCCGTCAGGGGGTTTGTGACTTGCCACAATCTGACGTTCCGAGACAGCAGGTCTTAGGTTTGAGGCAGTCCTGGGTTTTGTAAGTGCAGCTGCCTGCAATGTTTTGAGTTGTCTCATGAGTGAGATGTCATGTGCCTAATGCGGAGAAAGGACTAGCTGCTCAGCAATACTGATCAAACTGGGGTCTTGTGACACGTCATAAGCATGAGCCGAGGCTGATACGTACAAGAGAAGACATGTAGAGCCCGAGCCCCCAGCCTCGGGTATTAAGCCATACATTCCAGACAACCCAGCCGAGGTTGTCAGACTCTTCAGGTTGGTTTCCCGAAGTCAGAGCCAAGTCCCAAGAGGTGCAGAAGAGAGGCTTCACACGGAAGTTCGTCCGAGCCCCATTTTTCTCAGAAACGGGATGGTGCGGGGTAGGAGAAAAACCGTTCAGCTTCCGCCTGCACATCAGATTTTAGCTGCGCCTCGTGTGTCAGCGAGAAGGATATGGACGAGAGGGTTAGCTTAACATTGAATTTCGAGGATTAAAGGTGCGGCTGCGCCGCCTGCTGCCCGGGTATTGTGACCGTTTTTGGCGATCTGAAACGGTTGCATGCTTACTTGGGTCGCATCTGTGTTCACCTTGTGCATTGTCAGACACCGTGTTCATGCTTGGAGGAAGCAAACTGAGCACAAAGGGCGTCCCTGGGGAACAACCAGCAGCTTGTACGTTCGGAGTGCGTTTACTTCAGATTTTCGTGATTTTCCACATCGCGCTCCAAAACGTTTGGACGAAGGGTTTGGTGGATGCCATGCAGCTGCACAGGACTTCTTGTACTTGCCCTATGATCCGGCAGAGGGTGCCAACGAAGGCGGACTGGCTAGCTGCAGACAGCTTGTGACGGGAGCGGTTGCAGGCACATGTAGAGGTTCCTAAAGTCTGTCACTGTCATGTACGAAACCGTGATTTCAAGCGTCTGCTCCGTGTATTTCGAGAAGCGTTTCTCCCGGTTCTTAGCATCTGAGATCGCATGCATACATGCATACATACGTACGTACGTACGTACGGACGTTCATACATGCACCTGTGCACATACATGCATGAATGCGTACGTGATTTTGTGCTTGCATGCATGCATGCATGCATGCATGCATATATGCATGCACATTCACTTGCATACATACATCTATATATGTATACACACATGCATATACACGTACACTCGTGCATGCATGCATGTTTATCCACGTACATGTATATAGATGTATGTATGTATGCATGCATGCATGCACGCATGTATGTATGTATGTATGTATGTAAGTATGTATGTATGTACGTAGGTATGCATGTATGTATGCATGCATGTATGTGTGCATGTAGGTATGTGCATGTGTATATGCATGTACAGACGCGCACACGCACGCACGCGCAAAAATGTATGTGCATGTATATATATATATACATATACACATACACATACACACATAAATATACATAATATATATATATATATGTATATATATACACACACATGCAAACGCACATGGAGTCTGCCACACCTTCTTTTCATTCTGACCCAAAGATGTTTCTTTATCATGTTTGGCGATGTTTCGCTATGGCTATCGATCTCCCCGCATGTCCATCTGTCTCTGTCTACATCCGGCTATTTATCTATCGACCGATCTATCTATCTTTCTATCGATCTAGCTAGCCATCTGTCCATTTCTTCTTCTGGGTGTATGCGTAATGCACTCTGCTTCTCAAGCTCGCTGGGCAGGCTTTGGCCTGGTCAGCTTCTTGCGCCCCAGTGTCGCCCGAGACTTCTACAGGGACCCTGTAGAGCCTCTGACAGAGGGAAGAGTTTGTTTTCGGATCATGCTAGTTCGTTTCATCATCTGGACACAGGGGTGCCGGGATGATTCCAGGGTTGCTCTGTGAGCTGCGTCATCTTCCGGGGGCACGACTGTATCAAACGTCCTTAGACCTTGGAACTCGCAGCCTGAAGCCTGCCTAAGATTAGCATGGAAGGAGTTCAACGGGACCTTTCTGCGAGTGGCTCCGGTACAAGGCTGGCGCAAAGTTGTCTTTGTGGCTTTTTTTAGGTCCACCGGCCAGGCGAACAGAAAAGCTGCTGTTCTGTCCTAAGCCACCCAAGCCCGCAAAGACTTTTGTTGATCTGACGCGAAGTCTTACGTTGAAATTCAACATGGCGTTTGAGTGTTGGCTTGGCAGCATGTGGGAATGTAGGTAAACAGTAGGGGCCAGCGCACCTGGTCCGGTCCGTTTGCTCGGAAAGGCAAGGCCTTGTACGTGCACGCGTCCCCCATCCAAGGAGCCTGCAGGGTGCCTAGGAGCTCGTTTGCTGAATGAACGTAGAAACGGGTCGCCTCTTCGGCTTGCTCTTCATCAGCACAGGGATCGGAACCTGCCACAGCTGCCACTACTTCATCCTGGTTTGCGCCCAGCTGGAACCTTCTTCCACGTGCCTCTCGTGAGTTTTGGTCAAGGCGGTTGGAAACCTTAAGCCCTCAAATCCCTCTTCGACCAGGATTTGCTGAGCTGTACGAGAAGTTTAAGCCGGATCCGAACTCCCATCAGGCCACCTCCACAGCTTGTGGGACGTTTAGGTTTTCGGTCGGTATTGAAGTTTAGGGTTTAGGGGTTTAGGATTTTTTGGGGTTTAGAGGGCCAGGGTGTGGACGAGAGCGCTGCACGGTCCGCCGCCAACTCGGCGGCGCTGGCCACCCGCGGCTGTTGCTCCTTCCTTGGTACTCTTAGGGCTTGCAGGGTTTAGGATTTTTTCGAGGGGCCACAGGCTACAGGATCCAGGCGGACAGGATGTAAGGGCTGAGGGCTTAAACATTGGGGTTTAGGGTTTAGGCAGAGGGTTGCCCGTTCAGATTTGGACGCTGTGGCTTCACGCAGGCCTGATGATTGAAGCACATTCTCCGTAACACAGCAGAAGATGAAAAGAGAATCTGCAACAAAGGATGCATAGGCAAGTTGATCCAGAAACAAGCACGTCTCCGCCATTGTATAGTTGTTCATGTCTATACATAGGATATACGGTAGCTGTCTAACAGTTCTACTTACGGCCGAGAGCCAGGATCCCATTGTCTGAATGTTTGGGCACTTCGACTGTCAATGCACCATGATCCCTAAACCCACATATTAGCCAGGATCTGAAAGTTAGAGCTAAGCCCAAACTTGCAGGTCGGCATTTTCATCAGAAAGCCCTGCGGGAACAGGACCCAAAATGCAGCCCGCTGTTTCTGCGGCGGCCGCCAGCAACACTAGCCAGGCACCCAGGCATCCTTAACAACCAGCAGTTGTGACGCTGGCCGACCAGTCCCTGCCGGTTTCAATGCTCGTCAAAGGCGTCGCGCTCCAGCGACATGGGAGTTCTTGATCGGACCTACAAGGTATCAGCACCAAGTGCGGTGGCCCGAGATCAACGAAAGCTACAGCTGAAGATACTGCACTGTTGCAGCGTGTTGTGGCAGAGACTGTGAGGTGGCCGTTTAGTTTTCTGTTGTTTTCCTTAACAGTAACGGTTCCCTGATGCCGAGGAGCACGCTGTGCCCCAGCGGCCAAAGGCACGGGCATAGATGCAGCTGTTGAGACAAGTGTGCCGCTGCTGTTGCGTTTGCTGCCGAATTGCCCAAGCACGAGGGTGACGAGGGCAGGTGCCAATCTTATCATTGGGACGTCCGTAATGAGCTTCCTTGAAGGTAAGCCGCGGGGTTGCGCGCCGACTCTGCCTGGGTCCCGGGCCGGTGTCCGCCAAGGTCTAGCAAGAGGGGCTGCGAGCCTCCAAGAGCCTCCCAAATTGCATCAGGTCCACGCTGTTCTACTGGACTGCAGGAGCTCGTTTTCAGCCCTCTTGAGTTGCCAGCCGAAGCCCAAGCTGTGAGTCCAGGACTCTGTCTGCCCCAACTGTGGGGCAAAGGCCCAGCGGGAGCAGCTACGTAAGGGTTCTTGGATTGAACGCCCCTATCGTAAGCCGTGCCCCAAAGCCTCCCGACGGCGCAGGTGCAGGCCGAGTTTGAGGTCGCCCGGAGCATCGCGAATCCGCATCCTGAGGCTTGGTAGGCAGCGAGGCTCTCGGAGAAGGCCCGAGATTCAAAGAGGTCCCACCTAGGGAGCTAGGGACCTACTCGAGGATTCAATGTAATCTGCGGTCCGGGCCTTGGTGGAGACTCGGAGCCTGGCACAGCTCGAGACATGGCGCAGCAATGACCCCGCTGAAATTTCACTCCCAAAATGTGAGCCTTATTGGCATTCTTGATGACATTGCCGGGATAGTGCGCCGGCGCCATGGCGAAGTGCAAAGTCACTCGTAAAAGGAGACTCAGAATTTGACCCTGAGCTTCTGCCCCTTACCTCGAGCTCAACATGGGCTGGAAAGGCTGAACCCAGCCTCAGTCGGAGGCCGACTTTTTGCTGTTTGCCTCTACGATGAAATTCTCTGGCTGTGTCTCAGTACTTTCGATCCTTTAGGGTGCTGACATTTGAGACATAGCGACTTCCCTTTGGAGCGCAAAGGGCCTGCTCCTGCTGCCGTCTTCGAATCCTGCCCGGCCAGGCGAAAAGTCAGATTGCATTAGATTGCATTGGGCCACCGTTGCCGCCGCCTCTCTCCACCCCGGGCGCCACCATCCGACCATCACCAGCTTCTGTCACAAGTACCACCATCACAGCCAGCATTTCCACACCACATCAAACAGAAAGATTGGAGTGAGACTTTGCAGGCCGTTGGCCATCGTTCCTTCGCCACGCAGCCGACTATGAATCGCTTGGTCCTTGGATCAAGATGCAGGCGCCAAACACACTCTTGAAGCCTGTTAATTGGCCTAGCTGTTGGCAGCAACATAACCTCGACCCAGAGCTTGGTTGCTGTACAAGAGCTCCAGGACCCTACGTCTTCCGAAGACGATGCCGGCATGCCGTAGGCTTCTAGACCGTGAAACTCCTGAGTCAGAATTTCTCAGCCGGAAAAACATTTCTCGGTTGATTGCAATTACTGGGAGTCTTGACTTGCAAGTTGTGCTGCAACAAGAGTAGTTTGCACTGTGTGCACACCCACATTCTGCCGAGAAACTGGTCTGCGATGCCTTATTTCGATATTCACCTTTCATACATCCATCCAGCTCGCCCGTGCTTTCATGTGCTCGCTCGATCGCTCTCCTAACCACTTTCCCACCAATCATCCGGTCAGTCTGTTTTGCGGATTCGTATATACAGATTACATGGTTGAGTGCTGTAGGACACAAATCCGGAGCAGCACATATGCAGTCACGGACACTTGCATGGACAACTGCACACCTGCACATGCATATGTGCATGCACACTGAATAATTGCATGGTTGGTTTGTTTGTTTGATTGATGGGTTGATTGAATGAATGGTTTATTAAATTGTGGAATGAATGCATGAATGCATGAATGAATGACTGACTGAATGAACGAATGAACGAATGAGTGAATGAGTGAATGATTGAATGCAGGACGGAATGAAGGAATTAATGAATCAATGAATGAATGAATTAATGAATGAATTAACGAATGAAGGAACGAATGAAATGGATGAATATCGAAAGTAATGAAATGAACGAAGCAAATGAATGAAATGAATGAACGAAATGAATGAACGAATGAATGGATGGATAAATGAACGAATAGAATGAAATACAACAAACAGGTGGATGGATGGATTGATGGATGGATGGGTTGATCGATCAAGGTCAAGTTTCTGCGAGCTCGGCGGGCACCGAGAACTCCAGCGACGGCGAGACGACGCCCTGGTGGCTCTGCAAGCATGTTCGTGCGTGCGGTTCAACTTCAAGCTCGGGGTTGGATGCATAACAGACTTTCCGATAGACCGAAAGGAGATGCCTCCCGACACTTTCTTAAGCCATGTGACTGCATGTACTGGCATAATTAGGGCACTGAGCCTCTGCAAATGGGTTTCTCATCCTAGGCTCAACACCCCTCTTGACACATTCCGGAAAGCCCTCTCAGGGTGGAAACGAAGCAGTCCGAGCGACTGGTGACTGAGGACCCTCTCAAGAGCAGCGGGGCTTTGGGCTCGGTGTTTTGACACAACATCCCAACGACCGCTGGTTGTCGGTCTAACTCAATATATCTTCACTGTGTACTACAAATGTCTATGCCTGCAATTTCGGTCGAAGTATATATGTTCACGTTGTATACCGACCTACAGCTGCCTGAAGTGCTACTGGAGCCGACCGCCCACTGTATTCTGAGGCTTGTTTGAAGCAATGCAGTGGTCAAGAACGAAGGGTACATGCAGCTTGACTGCGCCGCTTACAACCTTCATCTATTTTCTCAGGACCTTGAAGCTGCGATTGCAGAGTCGGCATCGCCCCGGTCGGTGCCTGGACGGGAAATGAGGCGGGAAGAAGGGCTTCAAGAGTCGGGAGTCTGTCTTCCACAGATTTCAAGAGGCAAGGGACCCCTAAGGCAACGGCTGAAGATTGCAGCTCCACAGTTCCAAGCTCTGAGCCTCTCCTGTCTCCAGGCCGCCGTGGCTTCCGCAGTGGTTGCAGCCTCGGACAATCTCCTGGTTCTGATGGGCTATGGGGCGTGGGGGCTGTGTGGAGAATCTTCCGCTGCGCAGGGCCTGCCTTCCCAAGATGTCGTTTGCAGGCCGAAGAGGCTGCACAACCCGACAGCCAGAACCTCAGTCTCCCATCAAGTGGCCTGGCAAGCTGTAGACAAAGATAGGCAAAGATGAGCCAAGATAGGCAAAGTTTTTTGGAGATTTTGTTCACAGGGCCGATCTCTGGGGAGCTGGGGAGCGGGGGGAGCAGAACGTTAGGCCGGCTCTTCCAGTTGAGACCCATAGCAAAGAAATGCCCAGCATCGCCTCACAATCGCAACATCATGCGAAGACCCATGGAAGCACTGCGAAAGGCTTTGCCACGTGCCACCCGGATGTTCCGGAACATCACTCCAGCAGCGGCCCCCAGACTTGATGGGTTTTTTTATGTCGGGAAGGCAAAGGACGCGTAGGATGACGTCGGGGGAGGATCTATCCGAAACTATCCCGCAGCGCATCGCAGCGCCAAGCTGTCAAAGCCACAAAGTGGAAGGCGCCGGCCCCGGCAGCGGCAGCGACGCGCTCCGTCGCCCGGCGTGACCGCAGGCCCAAAGCGTGTGAGAGCGAGAGCTCGATTCACAGTAAAACTCTCACTGGTTTGGGGTTTCGATGGAGTGTTCGAGAAGGATCAACGGGGGGAAGCTTCCGGCCCCAAGCCTTCAAATTGTTGGGATGTGGGGAGGGACTTCAGCCCACTTTCCAGTGCACCCGCTGGTAGGTGTGGTGTTCGCTTCAGAGCAGGACGTGCGACCCTTAGACCCTTAGACTAGACTCTTAGCCTTGGCCACAGCGTGTTGCAGCCAGCGCAGTTGTGAAAACTCACGCCCCTCGAAGCGAGGCCGGAGACGTGACCTGGCATCGCCGCAGCTTGAAGGCCAGAAACGGGTGTCCTACCAATAAGTGAGGGGCCCTGGTGAGACTGGGGAGTCAAGCATCCGGGCTTTGCCTCATTGGGGTTCCCCCTGGGCAGAGTGCTGTATGTGAGTGCTGCAAGCGCCTTTTTCAAAAAAGAGTCCGGTGTGAGAAGCGTTTGCCCCGCTGAAAGCCCAAGCTGCCAGTTAACGATGATGGAACCTTCGACTATCCCTCGGCACGGTCTTGGTACACAGGAAAGCGCTTCGTGAAGGCGCAGTGCATCCTGAAGCGAGTTCAGGGCATGGGGTTCAAGCCTTGCTTGGTTACCGGTTGTCTTTCGTGAGTGTGCCCGTGGCCTCCGACAACACACTTAAGTCTTCTCCCAGAAACACCCAATCACAAGCAGAGATTCGAGTGGAGGCAGCGACTTACTGTAATTAGGCTGGCCCACGAGACTGCAATGACATGTGTCATTGGGGCAAAGGCCCTGTGTGAGGGTTGAAACTCCAACATGAAGCCGACGTTCGCAAGGCGCAGGGCCGTTAAGCGGTTAGGAGATGGTTTGTGAGGAATTCGAGCCAAGATATAGGCATTCCCGACCTTTGAAGACTCTAAGAGACGTTAAACACGTGGGTCAGGCTCTGTCGCGGGAAACGTCTCTGGCCAAGGCCGTCTTGCAATTTTATGTCACAATGTGGCTGCAGGTTCGACTCGTGGGTGTTGGTGCTGAGAGAAGTTTGACAAAGCTTTCTGTTTGGCACAGGCTTCGGGGTCTGTAGTATCTCGCGTTCTGTGAGGTTTCAGGTTCAAACAGGCTTAGGGTGATGACAGAGTCTCGCTCAGCTTCGACAGCTGGGCGCCTAGCATCGGAGGGACATCTCCGAAGATCCGACAAGTCGGGAAGATACCCGCCCACTGAGGTGCGAAGCTCTCCCGCGCCTGGGAAGCAGCCGGCAGAGGAGGAGGAGCCATGTTCAGTTCAGACAACCCGTCCACACTACAGCGATTCATCAGCAAGGGGACAGACACAGCAGTTGTGGTCATTTCAACACCAGTTTGTGTTTCCTCGCAGCGAAGGTGAGCAGGGACCCGTGTTGAAGGGCTTGTTGATTTTGGAAGTGTATCAATTTCAGGAAGAGCACATCTTTCTCTCGGTCTGACTCAAGTTCAAGTCCACTTTGTGGGCAGACTTAGACCCGAGCCGGTGAGCCACTCCTGAGCCACTCCTGGCTTCTCCCCGCCACATCGCTGCTGCAGCTCGCCACTTGCATGCGAGGAGGTCGGTGGCGATGGCAGAGAGGGCTCGTCCGCCCAACACTCAGAGTGTGAAGTGGCTCTTGGCCTCCTCCCACCGAAACGGCTCCTGCGCTATACTTCTATGCAGTCTATGCAGCCTGCTGAGAGCATCTGCGAAGGCGATGCGGCAATCCACCTTAGTAAGCATTCCATCAACTCGTTTGAAATTTGTACTTTCTCTCGATCTCAAAGACATGGCCTGCTCTCAGGAGGGCGAGGGCGAGGGCGAGGGCTCGCGCTCGCGCTCTCGACCCACTTCGGCCAGGGCCTTGGCCTTCTCTTCACACGGGTCCGTGGAGCTTCAGAGCTCCAGGTCGCTGC